TTGCAGCAGCGGCTGAATCGGGGACAGCAGGAGTGTGGCCGGGTTAGTCCCGCAGCCCCGAGGGGCAGCGCTATGGGACCAACCCAGCAGCGCCCCAGCTGCTCTGTCCTAGGCGTTCCCGATTCAGCCGCTGGTCAGTTTTAGCAGTGGCTGAATCAGGGAACCTGGGGCAGAGCAGCTCCAACGGTCCGGCTGCCCGGAGCACTTCTGGGTTCCTGATGGTGCCGGACCATCAGGAGTACCGGACCATCAGATGCCGGACCATCGGAGTTTTACTGTAATAGGTTCTGGAACATCCCCAGGACCTGGGAGGCGTTCCCGATTCAGCCGCTGGTCAGTTTTAGCAGTGGCTGAATCAGGGAACCTGGGGCAGAGCAGCTCCAACGGTCCGGCTGCCCGGAGCACTTCTGGGTTCCTGATGGTGCCGGACCATCAGGAGTACCGGACCATCAGATGCCGGACCATCGGAGTTTTACTGTAATAGGTTCTGGAACATCCCCAGGACCTGGGCACAGAGCTTGTATATTCTGTGGAGTCTCTGACCTGGAGCAATCAAGCTCTATACTTGAATAAAACAACCACTTCCCAGCAAGATGATCCTGGATCACTAGAAATTGAAGGAACTACTGAAGGGCAAAGAGGACAGAGTCAGGAACTAGATGAATTGGTAGAGTGATTTAAAAAAAAAATCTGAAATGGTTTGGATAAACAGTTACTTTGAAGGGGTTATGGAATCATTCTCTGGAGCACAGCACATTCTGCTGTGATACCTAGCACCACTACAGATGAACAAAGAGTCTCTGGTCAGAAATCCCGAATCTCATTGCCAAAAATCTCCAGTTTAATGAGTGATATCTAGAAATGAATCACAGTCTTACTTGCAGTACTACCACGATAGATACCCCAGGAGAACACCAGTTTTTAAACTGGGCGAATTGGACATTTAGCATTCATTTTCATTACAATTTTCCACACATACTCACCTCATACTTCTCTTTTATCCATAGCTGCCTTTCTAGAAAAGTCTCTTTCTGATTATCTTCCAGACTGTCAAATTGAGACTGTGACATTTTCATGTTTCTGCGTATGATATATAGCTTCTCTTCTTCACCATATTCTTGCCCTTTAATATGAAAGCAATAAATCCACCAACAATACCAAGCTATATATTTGCACAAGTAAACAGGAGCTAACAGGATTTGGAACAGGAGGATATCATATATTTTAGGCTTCTGATAACCGCCTTTTATATCTACTTTATTTTTGATAATGTCCTTGATGATTTCTTCCTCTTCCTCGCGGATTTCTTCCTTAGACCGTCTGTTTTTGCCTTTTTCTTTAGCTTTGTTCAGTAGGCCTTGTCGCTTAGCAATCTCAAGTGCTTGTAGACGATATTTTGGCACGGTGACAAGGTAGTTGATGACCTCATTGTAGCTACTCCACCAGCTGAAGAACTAGAATATAAAATAGTAACAGCTTGTTATTTCCAGCAGTAGCATTAAACAGAAGAAAAACACAGGAAAATATGCTGCCTCTGGGATGTTCAGTTAAAAATTAAGAATAATCACATTTAGTAAATTTTATATTTTACAGATGCTGAGGGGTGAAATGACTGGACATCTTCAGCAAATTCAAGGTAACTTCTTGCCTTTTTCACTGTATCCTGATCCTCTCCATAAATATGAAATGCGCAGGTATCGTCATCAAAGACTTGCTCAAAGTCTTACAAGTCAGTAGCAACACTAATGTAAAAACATCCCTGCGCTTAAAGGGTCTTCTATGGGGACTGAAGAGATTTACATGTGATTTTCCTGCCTGCTAAAGGGCCAGATCCCTTGGATCAACACCGTAGCAGACTTGAACCTTTTTGTGGGCCAGCTACTGGATGAGAACAAATGCCACAATGTATTAGCAGTGTTAAACTCAAGATTAGAACTCTACTTGTTAGGCTCCAACCCTGTGCTCATTTTGCTAAAGAAAAGTATTTCACAATCTACAGTGTACAAGGAGAAGAATAATTTCACTCTTTTAATGAGATGGATACAGTACGTTTACAACAGTACTAAAACAGTGCAGGATTAATTTTCATAATCATATGTATTCTATCAGATGAAAGTTATTTTCATACTGAAGGATTATCCTGTGGATTACATTTGCAAGGTTTTTAAACCCACATTATTAATGAAACCAAGTATGCTAACAACTGCTATATTTATTCTTAGCGATATAAAAAAATTACAGAACAATGGGGGGAAGTTTGCACAGCATATTCTAGAAACTCATTTACTAGAAGCATCATGTCTTGATACAGAATATGACACTAGTTAAGAAAGTGCTTCTCTTCCATACTAAAGCACTGTGGCTCAGCTGCTTATACTTTTTTTACTAGAATGCAGAGTTTCTTTACTCATTGCATACTGCAACAAGGGATAATGGCACAATAGGGGACATGTTTTGAGTTTGTCACTTGACGGAAATTCTACACTTGTCAAGTACAGTGGAACTCTATTATGAGATCATTGCTCCCACATACAAACATCACTATCAGCCAAAGTTTGATACAAATGGAATCATGGTTTGCAAACTGAAATCCATTAAGTAACTTGAGACTTTAATTTTAATTCTCCAATTTAGCTAGGGATGTTAAATTTAGATTAATGGGCTAATCAAATAGTCAATACAATTTGCATCAGTTATTCAAACAGGGTGCCTGCACCTTTGAAGTGTAGCAACAGCCTCAAGGATGTTGCTACATTTCAGAGGCGAAAACGCTGGCTCCGTGCTCCCTACAGCATTTCAAAGTGGCAGCACCGTATGGAGCCCAGGGTTCCCAGCTGACCCCTGGCTCCACAGTACGCTGCTGCTTTGAAGCACCCCTTCCTTTCCTCACCCCACTGCCTCTTCTTTATAGATACAGCAAGGGAGGGGGGAGGAAGCGACTAGTCATCCACAGCCCTAAATTCAGTATCAGAGAATTTCCCCACAGAAGCTAATCCATATGATAACATTACAGGACTATGAGTCCCTGTTTAGATTGGCACACTATATGTATTAGCTTAAAGTGTCACACTGATATATCCACTTTGCAACAGGAAAAAATGTTCTTAAAGATTTTTAATTTTCTTGGATTTGCAACTAAACGAATAGTATAGTACAGGACATTGAGTGACATTAACCATTTAAAATGGCTAATTAAAAATAGGTTATACAAGGGCAATCTTATAACTTGATTGGATTTGCTTTATAAGACTCAATCCCCTTCCATGTCTTGCTTCATGCTGGAGTTAAGATGAGACAGACAAAACGAGGATAGAAAAATGAGGAAAAAAAACCCTGCCTTCTCTCTTCCTAATTCACCCTTGGAGTTAAGATGAGAGAGACAAAACGAGGATAGAAAAATGAGGGAAAAAAACCCCTGCCTTCTCTCTTCCTAATTCACCCAAATAGTTATTAAAATCAACAGGCCTTAACAATGCAATACCACCTCATAGTGTGTGCAACTCTTAAATTAAGACAAGAGCTATAGCAAAGGCAGGAGATAGAAAAAAATGCAAATTTGGATTTAGACATGAGGTTATATTTGCTTTACAATCAGCATTAACTGACTAATGATAAAGAAATCCAGGCTTCAGATTTTACTATTTTCCAGTTTGGTTTTTGCCTGAATTTTTCCAATCTCCTCATTTCTACCCAAGGAAAAGAATGGGAGGCAGGTGAAATTTCTCCATCAAAACCAAAGACTTGAGGAAAAGTGGCTGTATAAGACTTTATGAATCTACGAGTCTACACTGTTTGGAGAATGAGAACTCTAGGACAGCTGCTGATCTGCAAATGATGCCACATAAGCATTAAAGAATCAAAAGCTCCTAGTTGGGTTGTTTGGGAAAAGCACCGTGTGAGACATCAGGAACCATTAGATAGCCAGGTTCAAGATTTCTTCAGCTACAGCATATTAACTACTGGACATTTTATCTTTTAGAGAAGTCTTCAACAAGTAACTCCAATATACATGTTAAATATTAAAAAGAGGTAATAAATTTATTCTATTTAAACAATTGCTTGAAAATGTATACAAAGTTATTAATTTATTCAATACATAGTATGTATGTTTCTACAGAGAAAAATCATTCATTTGAAGAGGAAGACTTCACTGATCCAAACTAATTTTTATTCTAAGATATACTATGAAATCAGGAGGATTATGATTGTTTTAAATACATCCGTCATGAACAGTTTAAAAATTAGCTTCTTAAAACACTGATATCAAAATGAGAAACTGGCTCAGTCTAACACTGAAAAATAATCTAGCCCTACAGTTGGGATGGACTGTTCAGCCTTTAATTTTTTGAACCATGGAACCATATTATTTCTCCAGTAGTGTAAGATGCTTATCCTTTAAATTTATAGTACCAAAAACATCAACGAAAGGGTCTAGCATATAGATTTATATGACTAGATGAATATCTGCCTAGAGCACCAATGATAGTAAACAACACTTACAGATAGGGGAGCCTTCTAATTGTACAATTAAAAAGCCACTTCAGTTACTAATGGTAATGAAATCTAGACTTCACATTTTATTATTTTCCAGTTTAGAAATTCAATAAGAACAGTCACAACAAGCATCAGTATATATTTTACCTGAAACACAGAGATAGCACATACAGTCACTAGAATCACTATCCTGACATCAACTTTAGGTGCCAACCTCCTGCGGTAGTAGTGATAATAATGGCTGTAATACTCTTCAGGATGATCCAACATGTAGTCATAATCTTTACGTGTGTCTTCATCCTGTCAAAAAAAAGTTAACACAAAATGTTGTAGGTTCAAATCCTTGAGCTTTTAATCAATGTCACATAGTACATTTCATAAGATATGAAAGCTTGGCAGTGGAGTGATTTTTAGTTACCACAGATGGCTTGGCAGTGGAGTGATTTTTAGTTACCAAAATTACACTTCAGTGATAAAACACTGTTAACCATGAAACTGTTGTAAAATCCGTGTGGGACTGATTTCTATAAGGAATAGAGAGGACAGACTTTTTAAAGAAACCTACATCATTAATATTCAATATTAAGCGTCTGTTTTTCAGGTATTATGAGAATTCTTCAGATTGTTTCCTCTACTCTGATAATCAAAATGGATTTATTCTAAAACACATATATATTGTTTAGTCAGGGCTACATACTTGGTCTTGCCTAAAGAAATATCATTGTGAAGTAGTTAACCATGTGACAGTCACATACTAAGCACAAAGTATCAATCTTAGAAATCAGACAGATGGTATTAACTGATTCCAATTAATCTCGGTCAATGCAAGGTGATGTTTTTTGTTTTGAAATAAAATTCTGTATTTTAAGAGTATGTTTTCTAGTTTTGGGGGCAGTCTAATAAAAATGCACCAAGTGTCACGGCAAATCTTCCTTTGGGAGATTTATACAGCATAGTGGACTTCACTCACTTCACTTTCTTAGTATTTAGCCTAAGCACCTCATCTTTTAATTATATTTAGTTAGTCTTAGTTATACCTTTTGTACCATCCAGCAGAATTCCCCTCTTTTTCCCTTAAAATATCTGTAGAATATATTCCCCATCCCTTAACTGTGGCTTAGTCAAGTTCACCATGATAGTCTTTCCTTACAAATTCCTTCTACCATTCTGATCCTGCACTCATTCCTTTAAATCAACAAGAAAAGTAATGGAACATTACTTAAACAGTTGGGTAGCAGTGATGTAAAATCCTGTTTAAAATGTTAACCGGTTAAACAACTTATTTACTGTGCAACTGCCGCCTCCCCCTCGGCTGTGGGCTAAAACAGCCCCCTGCTCATGGTGTACTGTGCCCCACGGAAGTGGGCTAAAACAGGCCCCTGCTCATGGTGTACTGTGCCCCACCAGGCCGCAGCAGTGTGCCAAGTGCCAGTTAGCCAGTAAGACAATGTTTACCAGATAACTGGCTATCCCTTTACATCCCTACCAACAAACAATTCCTCATTTCAGATATTATACACCCTTCCCCATGATGAGCTATGGGTATATTACACCTTTTTCTGTAGCAGTGGTTTTCAAACTTTTTGGCCCTGCTCATTACAGACCTTTCCGTGGACCACCAGCCAAGTACCCATGATGACAAAATGGCTACAGAAGGGGCTAGGGGTGCAGGGGACTGGCTGAGAGGTAGGGTGCAGGAGTAGGCTGAGGGTGGGGAGGTCTGAGAGGAAGAGGGTGCATGTGGGAATGGGGGCACTTACCTGGCTCCGTGCCTCCTGCCACTCCCAGGCACCACCCCCTTCTGCCCCCATTGGACATCATCGGGGAAAGCCTCCAGGTGAGTTGTTTCCTGCACTGCCATTCCCTCAGCCAGGGAGAGAGGAAGCGGCTGTGCAGGGGAGCTGCTACCTCCCCTGCAAGCCAGATCCAGTTTGTGAGGCTCACCTCCCCCTCTGCAGCAGGAAGCTGGCGCTGGCACTCTAACCTTGCAGGGGACCACAGGGCTGGAGCACCAGCTCAAGCTCCCCACTGAGGGAGCTGGGAGCTCCGAGCCTGCAGCCCACCTGTCCTCCAGACTTTGAGAACCACTATTCTATAGCCTTCAGATACAAAATGTTACACTTCCCACTATATCACAACCACATTTATACAAAGTGCTTGGGGTTCATCCAATTTACAGTAGACTTCCGATAATCCGGCACCTTTGGGACCTAGGTGGTGCCAGATTATCAGATATGCTGGAGTATAGGGAGGTTCTCCAGCGGGGGACTGTGACGGGTCTGCTGGGACCCGCACTGTGTCCGAGGGGTGGGTGAGAAACGGTGCTGCGAGGGGCGAACCCTCCTCTGTTTTGCAGGAAGCTAGGGGAAGCCCCGTGCCGCCGCTGAGCGTTTCCCGGA